AAACCCGCTGGGTTTATAAGGCAAAACTTTATCACAAACCCCTGGAGTTTTTTGACAAGGTAACAAAGTAAACACGAGAGAGAGGGGTTTGGGGGGATTGCGTTTTTTCCCAATTGCAGGAAGGCCTTTGACACAGTTCCCCACAAGAGATTAGTGCAGAAGCTGGAGGATCAGGCACACGTAAAAGGAAGGGCACTGCAATGGATAAGGAATACCTGACAGGGAGGCAGCAACGAGTCATGGTACGTGAAGAGGTATCACAGTGGGCGCCTGTTACGAGCGGGGTCCCACAGGGGTCAGTTCTAGGACCAGTGCTATTTTTGATATATGTGAACGACATGATGGAAGGAATAGACCTCTGAAGTGTCCCTGTTCGCAGATGACGTGAAGTTGATGAAGAATTAAATCGGACGAGGATGAGGCAGGACTGCAAAAGAGACTGGAGAGGCTGGACATGTGGTCCAGTAACTGGCTTCTCGAATTCAATCCAGCCAAATGCAAAGTCATGAAGATTGGGGAGGGCAAAGAAGACCGCAGACAGAGTATAGGCTAGGTGGACAAAGACTACAGACCTCACTCAGGGAGAAAGACCTTGGGTGACCATAACACCGAGCACATCACCGGAGCACACATCAACCAAATAACCGCTGCAGCATACGGGCGTCTGGCAACCTGAGAATAGCATTCCGATACCTTAATAAGGAATCGTTCAAGACACTGTACACTGTGTATGTTAGGCCCATACTGGAGTATGCAGCACCAGTCTGGAACCCACACCTGGTCAAGGACGTCAATAAGTTAGAGAAAGTACAAAGTTTGCAACAAGGCTAGTCCCAGAGCTCAAGGAATGTCGTACGAGGGAAAGGTTAAGGGAAATCGGACTGACGACACTGGAGGAACAGAAGGGTCAGGGGAGACATGATAACGACATACAAGATACTGCGGGGAATAGACAAGGTGGACAGAGATAGGATGTTCCAGAGAGGGACACAGGACAAGGGGTCACAACTGGAAGCTGAAGACTCAGACGAGTCACAGGGACGTTAGGAAGTATTTCTTCAGTCATAGAGTTTTCAGCAAGTGAATAGCCTAGCAAGTGAAGTAGTGGAGGCAGGAACCATACATAGTTTTAAGAAGAGGTATGACAAAGCTCAGGAAGCAGAGAGAGAGAGGATCCAGTAGCGATCAGTGAAGAGGCGGGGCCAGGAGCTGAGTCTCGACCCATGCAACCACAATTAGGTGAGTATAATTAGGTGAGTACACATACACACACACACACACACATACACACACACACACATACACACACATACACACACACACACACATACACACACACACACACACACACACACACACATACACACACACACACACACACACACACACACACACACACACACACACACACACACACACACACACACACAGGAAAAAGATCTTGGGGTGAGTATAACACCAGGCACATCTCCTGAAGCGCACATCAACCAAATAACTGCTGCAGCATAAGGGCGCCTAGCAAACCTCAGAACAGCATTCCGACATCTTAATAAGGAATCGTTCAGGACCCTGTACACCGTGTACGTTAGGCCCATATTGGAGTATGCGGCACCAGTTTGGAACCCACACCTAGCCAAGCACGTAAAGAAACTAGAGAAAGTGCAAAGGTTTGCAACAAGACTAGTCCCAGAGCTAAGAGGTATGTCCTATGAGGAGAGGTTAAGGGAAATCAACCTGACGACACTGGAGGACAGGAGAGATAGGGGGGACATGATAACGACATACAAAATACTGAGAGGAATTGACAAGGTGGACAAAGACAGGATGTTCCAGAGACGGGACACAGTAACAAGGGGACACAGTTGGAAGTTGAAGACACAGAAGAATCAAAGGGATGTTAGGAAGTATTTCTTCAGCCACAGAGTAGTCAGGAAGTGGAATAGTTTGGGAAGCGATGTAGTGGAGGCAGGATCCATACATAGCTTTAAGCAGAGGTACGATAAAGCTCATGGTTCAGGGAGAGTGACCTAGTAGCGACCAGTGAAGAGGCGGCCAGGAGCTTGGACTCGACCCCTGCAACCTCAACTAGGTGAGTACAACTAGGTGAGTACACACACACACACACACACACACACACACACACACACACACACACACACACACACACACAACACACACACACAACACACACACACACACACAACACACACACACACACACACACACACACACACACACACACAGAGTAGTAGCGACCAGTGAAGAGGTGGGGCCAGAGCTTGGACCCGACCCCTGCAACCTCAACTAGGTGAGTACAACTAGGTGAGTACACACAAGCCGTAACGGCTTGACAAAGCTCCTGAAGAGCGAAACGTTGCCACAATAAAAATGCCACATTAGTTTTCACTTGTGTCCTTTTACTTTACATATGTCGGTAATTCTACCAACATTAAATTTCAATTACGTGATGTATAACCCACCACAGAATTTGCAGGGGGCCAAAACAAGGATATGATGAGAGTAACAGAGCGATAGCTAACACAGTGGCTGAAGTAGCCAGGAGGGCCCATGTGGGCAGAGCAAAGCTACTGGTTGTGGGTTCCTTCACCCACAAAGAAATCAACTGGGAAAACCTGGAGCCACATGGAGGCCCAGAAACATGGAGGGTAAATAATTTGGAGGGGGTACAGGAAAATCTCATGCATCAGCACATTGGGGACACTACCAGAGAAAAAGGGAGAAGACGAACCCGCAAGACTGGACCTAGTATTCACCTTAAGAAGTGCAAATATTGAGGACATCACATATGAAAGGCCCCTCACAGCTAGTGACATGTGGTTCTAAGCTTCGAATATATACTACCACTGACTACTACGCCACACACTCTACTAAGTAAGTTTATCAGCTACAGGTACATATAAATTATCAAACATAACAGCAAATGTGTATATTACCCAGGATAACCCAAGAAAAGTCAAAGTGACTTGTTTCCATTGGGTGCCTTTTAATATCTTATTATTATACTATAAAGGAGATATACTAGGAATAAGGTAAAATTAATTATTTATATTTATATGTGTGTTAATTATATAAAAATCCTCCTACTCTCTTTCTGTCGCTACATTCATTAGGCACCTTTGGCACTCTTCTTGAACTGGTTCATGCTATAACTGGCTTTGACATGTGCGGGTAGTCTGTTCCACACCTTTATTACTGTACAATAAAAGTGTTTGAAGCCTGGCCACTGACTGTGGGTACTACAAAGTTGTGCACTCTGCTCCTAGTACTATGATTGCTGCGGTTCCCAACCTTGACAAAATTGGCACAAGATATTCTGGACATTGTGAGCAATTTTATAAACTTGATTTAACATCAGTTGTTTTACTCTGTCTTCAACATTCAGCATAACCAGTTGTTGTAATTCATCCTGGCCAACATGTTCTCTTGGTCCCAGCCCCAGGATGAATCTTACCATTTTGTTCTGGGTGATTTACAGTTTATCTTTCAGTTTTTTTTTGTCAAGGAAGAGTACCATGAAGACATATGACACTGTATAAGAGCTAGACATAAGGTCCTGCGAGCCTCAGTAGGTAGACACTGTGCTTTTCTGTAGAGGAACTTTAGTCTGGCATTCACTTTCTTTACTACACTGTTCTCTATCAATTCTCCTGTCATGCATGGTTCAAAGGGGATTCCCAGATATTTCACTGAAGATACTTAAGTGATGGGCTCCCCATTACTCTGGACATTAAAGTTATTTACCCTTTTCAGTTAATGTTTCGTGCCAGAGAGTATGGCTTCCGTTTTCCCGAGGTGTAATGATAGTTTGTTGTCTACTAACCATTTGCTGCAGGATTCTAGTTCCAGTGTTAGTACATTAGCTATATCTTATGGGTCTTTACCTGACATTAACAGAGCACTGTCATCTGAATACAATAGAAGTTTACACGACAATGATGGGCATGCCGTTCACATAACATAGGAATAATAAGGGACCCAGAATACTATCTTGGAGAGTTCCACATGCTATCGGCAGGGATTCTGATTCTGTTTTGTTGATTTTGATAATTTGTTTCCTGTTGTTCAGGTAGGACTTAAACCAGTCTACGGAACCTATGCTGGTAGCTTGTAGTTTATTACATAGTATATTGTGGTTGACCGTATCGAAGGCCTTTTGCAAGACTCACGAAATCGTAATGACACGATTGCAAACAAACCATACCACGGGCGGGATTGAACCCGCGATCAGAGAGTCTCAAAACTCCAGACCGTCGCGTTAGCCGCTGTATGGTTTGTTTGCAATCGTGTCATTACGATTTCGTGAAGTCATGTTGACGGCATTGAGGGGACTTGAGCTAGAGTTCGTCACGGCCACGCTAGCTGGAGATTCGTCTGTAAACACTTGCATTTGTGGTCACAGTGGTGCCTATGCTAACCTTCCTAAGGTGTAGAAATATACCTAGTTGAACGAATCTTATTGTGGCTAGGGGGTCCAGTGGCTAACGCGACGGTCTGGAGTTTTGAGACTCTATGATCGCGGGTTCAATACCGCCCGTGGTATGGTCTTTTGCAAGTTTAAGGTTGCCATACCTATGAGATTCCCCCGCGACATTTGAGTTCTCAAGTAGTCCATCAAATCAATGAGGGAGGTGTCGGTTGAATGAGATCTCTTAAAACCTGTCTATACTAACAGGCCTATAGTTGCTGACATCAGACCTACCATTTTTCTTGAAGATAGGAGTAACTCTGGCCTCCTTGAACCCCTCCGGGACGGTATTAGTGGTGATGTACAAATTTATTAAGCATGCAATGGGGATTGGCAATTCAGAGGCACCATCTTTTAGGAACTTAGACGGGATGTTATCCGGGCCGGTGATCTTAGTTGGATTTAACCTGCTTACTATAGTACTAAATATCGATAACGAGATATGCCACGAGACAACTAAAGTGGCAAATTGTTTTAATTCTTTCTACACAACTGTTGCATCAACACTAGTAAGTAAACAACCAGCTGCATCAAATACCTTTAACATAGACTCTGATAAGTTTAAAACATACTATACCAATAAAGGGGTAACCCTAAACAGTAGTTAACTAGTAAGTGTATTTCATGACTTCGTGCAAAAATAACTAAGCAGTGCTTAGAGCTATATACGGGTTTATGGATATACCCCAATTGTTATTTTTTTTTTTTTAGTTTGCTACCAGAGCTTTCTGGGGTTATTCTCGTACTCTTCGATTTTTGAGCAATAGTGCTTTGCCTTTGTTCCTTTTATAAGCCTCTGTACTCTGTTCCTCACCCTTTGGAATTCATTTAGTGCTGCAATATCCTGTCTGTTTGCTTTAAATCTTTTTAGCAGCTGGTCTCTGAATTTCACATATTACAATACTCAGAGTCCATCCGGGGGGGGGGGGGGTTCAGTTCTTCGTTTAACCTTAACCTCTTTAACTGGTGCAATATTATTAAGGATGGTAGTGAACATTGTTTTGAATTTTTCCCAGGCATCGTTTACGTCCGTGCAACTTATCTCTGTCCAGTCACAATTGTGTAGCCTATTTACCAGTGTTTCTTTACTGTAGTTTCTAGTTGACCTCATTGTTATTGTCCTAACGTCACTAAACGTAACTGATGACACTGCAGTTGACTCTATCATCATTATTGATTTTATATCATCACTGAAGGTTCTTGACTCACATAATGACTATGTTCACTGGAGAAGCCAGGTTTACATACTCAAAAATCCAAGAAAAATGAATTAATGTACAATTGCTATGGATTCCATCACACTGGATTACTGATTCATGATCAAGTTTGATACGTCAGCCAGGAAGAGCACCATGAAGGAGAATGTTGAATAAAACTCTAGTGTATGATTTAAACCTTATAAGTTAGAACATCTAAGTATTATATAAAACAGGATAACACACAAGAAACTCTGAACTTGTTACTAACACTGACAAGATTGTTGGACACCTCAAGTTCTCTAAGTTATAGGGGGGGACTAAGTTTTCTTGACTACAAAGCAATCAATAACCAGCATCCCCTCCCCTCCCACCTTCCACAAACAAAACAATCAATAACAAGCATCCCCTCCCCTTCCCCCTCCCACCTTCCACAAACAAAACTCCACAAACGATGGAGTCTCCTCCAGAATCTCTTTCAACTAGGGAAGAAAATAATAGTAGCAAGACAGGAAGCCATTAAAACCAGATTCATTCTGGATCTCTTAATATGAGATTGTGACTCCCAAGAGGAGAGTGAACGCAACCTTGTCGTTAATGATGTGACTGAACGCAGCCTCCCAGCAGTTGGTCTTGTTTCACTAATTCACAGGGAGGGAAATTCTTGGCCCAGGGAGGAAGAAAGGGAGAAGAGCAACAGGGAGAGGTGTAAACGCAATAAACACTGAAAGTATGTATGGAAGGGAACCGAAGGAAGGAAGGAAAAAGGAAAGGATGGAAGGGAAAATAATATATATATTTTATATATATATATATAATATATAATATATATTATATATTATATATTATAATATATATATTATATAATATGCAAAACAACCACTGTCTTTCACAGTGGTTTTTTTGCATATTCTGAAATCACCTGTTTACTGTGATTTTAAATTGAAATTATATAAATATATATATATATATATATATATATTTTATATATATATTTTATATATATAAAATATATTTTAAAAGACAAAATACATTGAAAAACATTCACAAAATACGATAGAAATAAAACAACATGGGTAACTCAAGCTACATCTCGAATACTTCGTCCAGCCCCCGGGGGTGGCCGCGTGCCCAGAATACTGCAGGCATTTCCTCTCTGATCGAAACCCACTGAGTCTCTAAAAGAGGAATCTGGTCGCCCTGGGGTCCTTGGGTTTTCTATGATGAGCTTTTCACCCAGCTCTATTAGGAACTTTAGAGCACACTTGCCCCATGCTCCAAGGGTCTCCGACCCTTTTGAGGTAAAGTTCTAGCAAGGAGAAGGCCCTTCATTTTTGCGGATCTTCTGGTCCCCTGGGCTGGCAGTTCCCCCCCCTTTCCCCACTATGTAGTATATCAAGTAGGTTCTGCCAATGTGGGGGCACATGTGTAGCCCCCAGGCAATCTGCTTTCCATCCTTCCAAGGTAGCATAGGGCTCCATCAGGACGCTTTTGACTTCCGTCAGACCTCTGCACTTGGGGTTCCCGTTGAGCTGGGCAACGGCTGTGGCGAGGCTTCTCTTTATGATGTCACTGACCTCCTCATCCTGGCATACTTCCCTTCTGCTGTGTGACACACGAGACCACGAAGTCCGAATTGATCAGCTGTCGCCCTGCCGCAAATACACCTATGTTCGGTGAGGATGGGGGCGGCTAGGCGAAGAGCAACACCAATCCGAATGGCCTGTGGGTCTAGTCGAGTGCCCAAGGAGGAATTGGAAACAGCTAACAGGAAATCTCCTGAGTGTGGTGCCTTCACTGCCAGGAGACGAGCTTTGTCCTTTCCTGAGGCATTGGAGAGCATTGTGGTAGCGATTTTTTCATGATCGGTTGTCCCAGTGGGACGTTTGTGTTCTTGGGAGGAGCTGGTCCTACGGGAGGAATCTGTAAGGGTGTCCCACCCGAATCGCTGCTTCAGTAAACCTGGGGTCTTGAGCTCCTACCACGTCTCTCAAGCGCTCGGGAACAATCTTTTTGACTAATGCACTGGAAGCCAAACATGAAAAGGGAGAAAGCAGGTAAAGCAACATTGTTGCTTTCGCACCCCTATACCTCCCAGTTGCACTGGGAGGGTGCCTGATCCCCTTGCTGATCCTCTAGTGACAGGTTCAGTGCCTTCTTAAGGGTTGACCTCAGGTGTGCGTTTATAAATTTGCGAGTGTTGTGTTGTC